AGTGGGAGAACTTGCACAATTGGTGGCTGACTAAATACTTTTTTGCCCCACTGTACATATCCCTCCATTATGCCTTTTTAAGGCCCCTCCTTTACCAGGCTCAGGCATTTTCCAACTGGTACCCCTTGTGTTCTTTTTTGTCTTCCATGGAAATAGTAAAGAGCTGCTTGGAGAAGGAACAAACTATGGGAAAAAGCAGCAGGGGCAGCCCGTGCATACCACCATGAAGCTGGTCAGGCAGCAGAAACGGAGGGGAGGCGGGATGGTTTTGATAACTCTCCACTTTTCTCTCCACCACATGTTGTAGCTAAGATGTGGAGAAGATGCAATTACATACACGCAGACCCATTATGCTACACTCTTTTGGAGCAAGCAATGTTATGCACTGTGCAGAAATGGGGTAAGAAATACAGTGGTAAGCCAAAGAAGTTACTGCATAAGAAAAAAACCCACTATTTCACACAAATAGTGTGTGCTGTATCTTCCCACACCTTTCTATCCTTGAAGCCATCCTGGTTCTACTATGTCCATATACCACTTCCTATATGCAGTCTACTGGAATGCACGCAATATATATCCTGTATTTTCATTTCATTATTTGTTAACAAACTCATAACATACTGAGCAGCAATAGCATACCACTATGACACTAGTATGAAAAGCTAGTATCTCTCCATCCCTTTGATGGTTCCAAAGCTGTTTGGAAAGTAATCAGAAAGACTTTTTTGACTGACTGATTGCATGCCATCAAATTGGTGCTAATTTTAGCGACTCCATAGATAAACGTCTCTGGAATTATCTATCCCCACCCTTGCCCTTATGATCTTCTAATGGTGTACTCATCACTGCTGTTACCAAATTCATCCACCGTGCTGTTGGTCATCCTCTTTCCTTTCCTCTTTCCCAGTATTATAGACTTCTCAAAGTAAATGGGACTTCACATAAAATAGCCAAAATAGCCTGGTCATTTCAGTCTCAAGTGAGGATTCTGGGTTGATTTGTTCTATGATCCATTTGCTTGTTTTCTTGGCTATCCATAGTATTCTCAAGAGTTCTTGCTACACAAGAACAAAACATGAAAAAATACACCAAAATCTTGATTCCCAACCTTATGGAACTATTAAACCTTCTCTACCTACTTCCAAATTAACAACTGCATATACCAACAAGTCACAGAACATCTATGGGATCCCCATCTCAGGGTGCATAGCAGAAGCAGTCATGCCACACCTAGAAAGCACTGGTCTTCCCAAAATCAAACCCAAAACATGGAACAGATATGTCCGACAACACATAATTGGTATTATTCTGTTACTGACTGCATTGTCAAATACTGATTTTGAAAGCAATGCTTTTCTCTTTTGTTTTTTTTGTATCTTAAATAGTAGATAACAATCTTCTGACTGAAAGTATCCATTCCAATTCACTGATGCCTGTCAATATGTAGCTGATTCATTTAATCCTCCACTGTGTTGAGGTTTGCCATTGTTCAGGCTTCTTATGTTTCATGTACACACTTGTAATTCTATCTCTGCAGCTTTAGATTTTTTTCTTGCATGGCACCATCAGCAACAAGACATCCCAAAGGCTTTAATCTTGCTGCATTATAACCACCACTAGTACTCCAAAAGATCCTCAGCCCTTCCTCAGTACCATGTTGAGGGCCATCCAACCTGAAGGATCCATCATCTGGCACTCTATACTGTCAGCCAAATGGTTTTCTTGGTAAAGTACAGGAAAGTACATTTCCTTCTCCCCCACAGTATGAAATGATGTGTTTCCCATTCTCACTAAAGTGATCACCTACCTCCAGCATCTTCCCATATTGCTGCTGCCCAATACAAGTTCTTGTTTGCTTTAGCTGGGCAGCTGGGATGACCTTCATGCTGTGGGGTGACCCTGCTGGGGTTATATACTCTTAGGCACACTGATGTTCTTTGCTCATGCCTCCCAGGAACACCCCCTCTTCTTGCCATGATGAGGCACAGAGCAGGACGTGAGGGGGCAGGAAACATTAGGTAGAGTTAAATATAAGTTTTAAGGTGATTTTATGAGGATCTTATAACAAATGAATTTTTAGAGGTGTACACTATTATTCCTTTTATGCACCTCAATTTATTATTACACAGGGCTCTTGGGTTTTTAAAAAAATGAAAATCAGTTCAACCAGAGATGTATCTGAAAAATGACTGCATATGTGAGTAGCAATGACTGTATCATATCAACTTCAGCTTATCTAGTTCCAGACATTGATTTGCAAAGTACATGGTTGCTCTCTCTCCCATGTGCTGTTTGCTGTCCTAAGAAATCTACACTAACCTTATGCTTGAAGCACTTGTTTATTTTGAACGTATCAACGTCAGCTGCCACCTCGCCGTCAGTGAAGACTGTAAACAGCAGAAGCCTGGCAGTGGGTGCCAGGTCAGAACTGGTGGTGAGGGTGAGGGAGAAGGTGCCTTTGAGTGCTGGGTCAGGGCAAAGAAAGGGTGAGAGGGAGAGGATTTAAGTCCATACAATGGGTAAATAATTTCTGCTAAATAGAAATAAAGCTGATATAGTACAGCAAGCACAGGGAATGTTCTGCCCCTGAGACTTCTTCCAAGTCTCAAGACTAGGGTGGAACCATTCTTCCTTTCTTACGCCACAATGAAATAATCAATTTCTTCTGTCTGTAGTCTCTTTCTTCATGGCTAGTTTACTCTAGGTTCCTCCTTATGGACAGAAAAAGGGACTGCTCCTTTCTACATATACAGAAGAATGCAGTGATCTGACAGTGAAGAAGGAAGTTGGGGCTCTTCCAAATGGCCAAATTAAAGTACTATCCATAAGTTCTTGAACTGGCAGGAAAATATAATGGCATAAATTGTGCTGCCCCATTATTGATCCTATTTTGCCTTTATCATGTCTTCTGTTCCCTCTTTACTGTGGGTGAATAAATGGGATGGGATAGGATGGATTTCCCCAGCCTCTTTTCCCTTCCCACCAAGTGTTACCTGTTAATGGGAAAAACAACAAGCAACCACTCTACTTAATGGAAGGGCAGGGTTGGGCAAATGGAGACTGATGCTTTGAATACTGGATTTAGGTACCTGTCCAGCTGCCTGATTATTAAATGACAAATGCTAAGGGGGTGCCTGAAATGAAATGGAAGGGAACTCTCTTAATGCTCCTCACAATCCATCTTCCACACCTGTTACCTGTTGGGCTATTTCCGAACATGAGTCTAGTGCTTTTCTGAAAGAACAGGGTTATGCTGAATGCTGTGTGACCATGTCACTCTTTGTTTCCCCATAGATTTTCCCTCACTTACTCTCTTCCAGGCCAACTGGTACTCGTTGCTGTCCACTGGAGACAATATTTCCTTCTGATACAACCTGCAGAGAAAAAGTGGCCAAGTTCATGGATCACACTAAGCTATCGCTTACTAAAAATACCACAGGGGCTTATTTAGCACATATTAAGCCATAATGGATATATATCAGGCTTCACTGGCATCCTTGCTTCCTTCAACAAAATGATGCTGCAAGCTCTGCCTTTTGTACATGCATACAATGTCATGATGCATGTATAAAAGGTGTGAGGCTTACATGAAGGCAATGCAACTCTGTGTTCATCGTTCTGCCCCTCCCTTGTCCTCCTCTGTGGATGCTGCTGACAGGCTTGTTACCAGAGGAACAGAATTCTGCAGAAAACTAGACATTCCAAAAGAATGTAGGAAAGTAAAATCTAGACTTGTAAACTTTGCATTAGAAGGTTTATAGCTTAACAGGGATGTAAACTTTTGGGGGATTTAGACTGGAAGGAAGATATAAATAAGGCAACAGATCTTTCTTCTGATAAACTTGTTGATGTAGTCAACAAGAGTCAAAGGGATTCTTTACCTTTAGTTGACAATATATATGTTCTACTCTCACACCCTGTTGCACTTTTCACAAATGGTTATGCTCACCAAGTAATAGAAATCTACGTGGTCGGCCTCGGGGCCCAGCTCCTTCCGGTCAAGGATATAATCCACCAGTACTTCCTGATCCTTTCCACAGGGCAGTTCTCCCTCCACATGCTGAATCTCAAGAAAACTGTTACTCTCTGAGTAGAAGGGCTTCAGCCAGACAAAAGCGTCATTAAATACCATACTGACATCATCTTGAGTTGCATTTAAGAGGGAATACCTACCCTGTAAAAAAAAAAGAAAAAAGCATAGTATAGGTCAGGAACAGCTAAAGAGTCAAAAACTAGTCTATGGCTCCATGTAGTACTTCCTAGAGTAAAAATGTATCCTGGATCCAAACATGCAGAGATTTTCTGCATGTAAAATGAGAACTTCTTCCACTGTGTACAGCTTCTCTTCCTCCCCTGGTGCTCCTGGCATCTAAGAGTGATTCCAGAAGCTGTAGCTGTGTGTGTGTTGGAGGGAGGGAGGGAGGGAGGGAGAGGAGAGAACTACTACTTACCCGTAAAGCAACTGGACTGTTTTTCCATTTTTTTGTGTCCAAGGTGAAATGAACTTCCCCATTTTCATCAGTGATGTATGAAATATGAGTTTCCACATTATCAACATCAAGAGTAAGGTACACAGTCTGATTCTTTAAGGGTACATCATTGACAGCACATTTCATCTACAGGAATAAAATGCCCTATTATTGTTCTAATGATAGTTAAGAAATTGTATGGAATTCATGGAGCATCGTTCTAGGATCTCTATAGATGTAAAGAAAATACTAGATTATTAAAAGATACCATGTTCAGGTTATAAAGCAGATTTAAATCCTGTCTTTTAAGAGTTTACAATCAATTTCTGGCCAAAACAGTATCTCTACTACTATGAGTCCATACCATTAAACCAATCTGCATTCTAGGTAGAAAATAACATGCCAACAGCACCAATCTCTTTCATTTTGGAAAAAAATGTATTTAATAAATTCCACTTAAAAGCAGCAAAAATTATGAAAAATAACATATCTAAAAACAAATACCCTTAAAACAGAAATTTGTTGTAACCCAATCTTGAATATACCTAAAAGTTAGCCCTGAAATATTATTGGAAATGCCTTTTCTTCCCCAGCCCCTCACATCTGAAATGGCAGCCTGTGGGGCACTGAAAACACTGTTCTCCTGTGGCATACGGAGCAAGTTTACAAGGATGTTATCCAAAGAAAGTTGTATTTGACTAACCTTTCCAGTATATGGAAATCCATGCTTGAAGAATGGATTGAGGTTGAGGAACGTTATTTGAACTGCTCTGGTGACCACTGAGATAAAGCTATTTCCTAAGATTTTCACTCCTGCAGAGACAGATTACATTCTGGCTCATTAACAGCCTTGGAAAAGAGCATTAGAAAAAGAAAAAAAAACAGAGCAGATATCTAACTGCACCTTCGACATTTCATTTCCCATTGATCTGGTCTCACCGGCTATTTATTCCCTCAGCTTCAGCCAGGGCCTTTCCCACGGCTGAGTTTACGCGCTCACTCCCCATCCTTCAGCCGGCAAAAAATTAAGAAGGAGGGAAACTTTCTGCTCCGGCTGCCCTCCGCCCTGGTTCACCATTGAGATTGGTCATCTGTGCAAGGCGCGCCGTGTGAACTGATTGGAGGATTCCTCCAGCTCTGCTGTCTTCATTACTGGCTGGCGGGAAATGACCCACCAATCATAGTGGTGTTGCGGGGGGAGGGCGGGGCGTGAAGCAAGCTACTTCGCTTCTTTTTATTTGGGCATCTACAGTGTTATCAGTTTGCTGAGAACAGAAAGTGAGAGAGGTGTCTTTCCTTCAGGACGTCAGACGCTGCTCATATTAACCCTGTTTGTAATACTGGCTTGCATAAATTAGAGCAAGACTCCCCCCTTTTCTGGTACAGTTGAAAGCAGGACTGCGGAGTCATATCAGTCTGCAAGGAGCTCACCCCGCCACTTTCGCCGGGCGGAGGAAGGAACTTCGTGCAGGCGCCGTGCCTTCTAATCACTTGCGGAGGGCAGAGAAGGCCGGCTGGGGGCCCGGCTGCATTCGGAGGGCGTGCTTTCCCAGGCCGCAAAAGATCTGGAACTGAAGCACCTAACCTAAGGAGCAGCGATGGACTAGGCATGGTATCCCTTGAGCAGCAAGAAGGCGTCCCGCCGGAGAGGTGGGGATCCAATCACGAGATGGGTGGCATATAAATTTAATAATGAATCCATAAACAAACTACATGTTGCTTATACCTCTGCTTCCATAAGGGGTTTGTTGTTTAAATGAAAGCTGGAGATTCTGGTTCATTGGTGGGGAAAAGGAAAAAAGGAACCAGAGAGCACCTTTTTGGAACGCCTAGCAAAATCGGGAGATGAACCAAACCACGTGGGGCGCCAGAGTTGGATTACTTTGCTTAGGGCGCCAAAATGTCTAGAGTCGGCCCTGGTGGAGGCGGATGTGTCTCCTGGCCGGTGCCTGTGGTGGTGACATTTCCTTTGCATCAATTATGGGCCTGTACTGTAGTATCTCTGAATATGCACAGGTTATTTGGAAGAGTACAAAGTGGCTTAAAAGAACACAATCCAATGTTGGAAAATACGTTTTTTAAAATACGTTTTAGAACAAATGAGAATATTGAGTTAAATTAATGTGTCCAGATATAACCTTGAATTTCCCATTTCTTTCCTTGTACCTGTTCCTTCCTCTTCCAATTCTGCAGAAAGCTCAATAGTACTGGCGTAACCTTTTTGAAGTAGTTTAATATCTGTTGTGTTAATAGTAAATGAAGCATATCCAGTCTTGTCCGTCTGGGGATAAAGAAGAAAATCTATATTAACAAAAATTCTTTAGGTATTGCATTCAAACAAGAGAGCTTTCTGTCACATGGTATCGTTGTTGCGATGACTTCAGGAGCTCTTCCTCTGATTGGAAGCTCTTCTTAGTATTGCTTTTTTTTCAGTATTCAGTGACTTTCTTTTGCTCATGGAAGCAAAGCTTTTTATTTCTTTTATAGGACAAAATTGACACATGTCAAACACAGTGATGATGGTTCTGCTCAAATCCATGGAGATATACATTTAAAATGAATCTCATAAACTGGATGGCACTCAAGGACCATCGAAAGGTTAACTGACTTCTATGAGCAGAATTTTGAAGATGGACAGCTGCCTAGTTCTGGTCTGATTTTTTAGGGATAATGCCATACCATTGTGTTTCCATATTATTCTATTTTTAAAAATTCCTCCTGAGCAGCTCCTTTACATAGTATTTTTACAGCATGCTTAAATTTATATCTGTTTGTAAAGTGTGCTTTTTAATGCATTTTGCTTTCAAAATATGGCTTTAGATACATATTTGATGTGTTTGAACTGCACTGCAGCATCTGGAGAAGTGCAAAATCTGCTGGACTTTATGCATTAGTCAAAAAGAACCTGTCATTTAGGCATCTACAAAGTCAGAATTCTTCCCACCCATTCTCAGACATTCTTACAGAACACTTCTATTTGAAGTATTGGTGATGGGAAAAGGAAATCTCCCTAGGATCACTCCCCAAGTAGTGATCAAAATGGACTGGTATACTGTATGTGAGTATTTGTGTGGGTGTATGTAGTGGTGTTGTACCTTCTGCTTCATATGGCCTCAGGCATTGTTGGCTTATAAAAGGTATTACTCAGCACACTCCTTCCTGCACAAGTATGCTAATCCTTCGTTTTTCCTGCATCCTTGTCCACCAAATTGTTTCTTTGATGGTGCTGAATGCAGGAGGAATCACCTGGTGTCCTGCTTTCCATCTCTATTCTGCTACTGCTATTTAGATTTTGGTGTATTGGTTAGAAACTGGGAGACTGTAAGTTCCAGTCCTGCCTTTGGCCTGAAGCCAGCTGGGTGACCTTGGGCTAGTCACTCTCTCTCAGTCCTAGGAAGAAGGCAAGTGCAAACCACTTTCGAAATCTTCCAAGAAAACTGCAGAAACTTGTCTAGACAGGAGTCAACATTGACTTGAAGACACCAAAAAAAAAAAAAAAAATAGATAAAAGGGTTAAAACTGAAATAACCTTTGGGACTGTCTATGCTAATTACCCACAGTGTTGTTTCCAGTGGTTCTGGAAAGCTCTGTCCTCTGATACAACTGTACAGATAGTCCTCGATTTACGACAACAATTGGGACCAGAATTTCTGTCACTAAGCTATGCGGTCATAAAGCATGACCACATCATTTAATGATGGCAGTCCCTGCAGGCCCGGTTGCCGTTGTTAACTGAATCCCATGGTTGTTAGGTGAGGCAACTTCCTGCCGGCTTCCCACAACCAAAGTCAGTGGGGAAGCCAGCAGAAAGTTGCAAGTCCCCAAGTGGCTGCTGCTGGGTGGGGGAGGAAGTGAGGGGGTGTGGGGGAAGGTCGGGGAGACTGCCCGAGGGTTCATAGAGGTGCACAAGAGGCACCGCACTGGTTGGGGAAGGTGTGTGGGGGTGCACAAGAGGCGCCAAGGGGTCGCCGTGCAGGTTGGGGAGGGTGTCTGTGGGGGTGCGCGAGTGGCTGGTGTGGTACAAGTGCAGAAGGGCTGGAGAGGGTGCAAGGGTGTGGGAGACTTACCCCAGTAACTTGCAAACGTCCCTGCTGGCTTCCGCATTGACTTTCTGAGGAAGCCAGCAGGGAAGGTTGCAAATGGCGATCATGTAATCACAGGGTGCTTGACAACCAGTTGTAAGTGCAAACAGGTAGCCAAGTGCCCAGATCATGATCACATGACCGTGGGGGTGTTGGGATGGTCAGAACTCCAAGAACTGGTCATAACCACCATTTGTTCCGCACTGTTGTAACTTTGAATGTTGCTGAATGAATGGTCATAGGTTGAGGACTACCTGTACATGTAATGTAAATTGTTGCTTGTTGTCCTATATATATTCTAGAAATAAATGGTTGACCAAAGACTGTATATAGTATTAATAGTTCTTTTATATTTCCACTGAACTATTGGGGAAATAATCTGCATTTCAATTTTAGACCATAAACAGAAAAAAAAATCTGTCTTCAGTATGTGGTGAAAATCTCAAAGAAGCCTCAGCCTTTCCACATTTTCCTCTGTTGTTTTTATTGCAGCCTTGAGGACTGCTTGAAAATCCATCAAGGACTACAGACTGATAATGAAAGATAAGAGACAATTGCATTTCCTTCCTTCTTTCCTTGCATCCTTACCTAGATCTTAAGTTTGGAATGCTAATTTAAGGGTGGGGTTGGGGGGAGGCACCAAAATGTTCACAGACACCTTTCTTGGTCCCTGCTGTCCTCCCTGCTCCTCTTGACTTCTTTACATAATTAATATATGGGATATTTAAACATTTCACATTTTTTCCCATTTGATTAAAAATGGCTGTAGTAAGCAAGCAAAAGGTATGGAGGATTATGTACTGTGTTAAATCAGTGCACCATTGCACAATGTGCCTCTAGCAACTTCACTTTCAGTTTTATCCTGGGGTGTCTCATTCTCACCTGATTTGTGTAATTAAGCTTAATGTCAAACATTCTTGTACTCTCACTTTCATAGAAATAATATGATTGGGTTCGAGTCAAATTGAGATGGACAGTCCCATGAACAGGCTTCCCATATGTGTATCTGTGAAATAATTGAGAAGATCAATATTAATGATAATAAAGACAAATTAAAAAAGACGAGCAGAATAGAATACAGATAGTCCTTGCCTAATGAGGGTAATTGGGACTGGAATTTCCATTGCTTAGTGATGCGGTTGTAAAGTACAACATCACATGACCACGCCATTTACTGATGGCAGTTCTGGCAGTCCCCAGTTGCCACTGTTAAGCAAGGAGCATGGAAGGGTCCTTAAGCAAGGACCTCACATGACCGCGACTTCCAACTTCCTGCTGGCTTTGCTTGTCAACTTCCATTGACTTTGCTTGTGGGAAGCTGGCAGGGGAGGTTGCAAATCGCAGCCACGTGACTGTGGGATGCTGTGACATCGTAATTGCAAGCCAGGCATCAAGCACTGAGATTAGATCACATGACGGCGAGGATGCTGCACCAGCTGTAAGTACGAGGACCAGTCACAACACTCGTTCAGCACCGTCATAAGTTTGAACAGTCACTGAACTAGTCATTAAATGAGGACCATCTGTATGGGAACAAAAGTGGCTTATTGAGCTACAGAAGGAAAATAATTATTTTGCAGAAGATCTGTTAGAGTGGGGTGAATAATCTGAGGTACTAGGACTGCTTGTGGCCATCCACACCTTGATTGTGGCTTCCAGAACCCCCCAAAACTTGTCACTGTTGGTAATTTTTAATAAGGTATAAGGGAATACAGTGGAACCTCGGTTCACGAACTTAATTCGTTCCGCGACTCTGGTCGCAACCCGAATTGGTCGCGACCCGA